CGACCACCTTTGGAGTACATTATCACCCCCACCGTGACTACTATAACGATCCGACCAAAACCCCTTTGGTTTTAAGTCGAGCATTATCATCGTTCGTTATTAGTCGATGTTTGATCGAATCGAGAAAAACCCCCAAAATTGCACATATGTTCTCATCGATTACCACCAATCTAGATGCTCACTCTTCTCACCACCACCATAGTTGAACTCACTGTTGTTTTGCACTTGAAACCCAACCGATGGGTCACACCATTACTGCCTCCATCACCGTTCGCCGTCGAGGTAAGTTCTGAATGAATTTCGATGACTTTGGTTAAAGTTGTTGAGATTTTGGCTTGAAATTCGTGTAATTGAACTGTTTAGCTGAAATGTGGTTAACTTTGACTAACCGTTGACATGCCCGTTGACTTTGATTTAGAGTTGATCGTTGACCATTGACTTTGACCAAAGAAGTCAAATTTTCTAATAAGTCATTTTATGTTTTTTGACGTCCTGAGTCTGAATCCGAAGTCCGTTTTGTCAAATTTGAACCTAAAAGCCTCCAAATTGACCGTCAAATTCGAACATGTATATGTACTTAAGTTTTTTATTTAAGAATAATTAAATTAAGGTTAAAGACTGATCTAAGGTACTGTTATTTGAAGGTACACGAGACTCTCCTAAACTCTCGACAGCTCAACCCAGCTCTCTCGATCCGTTCGACCTCGTGAGTCAGTAGTCACTCTTATGACCTGTAAACCTTATGATTGCATAGATTAAATATGTTACTCCTATAGTAACCCAATTTTATTATGAATTAGGTTCGAGCAATACTACAGAGCGAGACGAGGCAAGTTCTCAGTAGACTCCCTGATTGACCCTATTTTACGAGATGTGTTCCTTATGTGCCATATAATTGTTTTAACTGTTTTAAAATGTGATTATCCAAAATTATTGATTTACTGATTTAATGGACTATTGTTTATTTATCTGGTTACTAGTTTACATTGAAAATACGATTATGTTGATTTTGGATTCATAGGAATTACTGCTTACTATGTGAACTGTTTTATTGAGATATTGTTTTGGATAGTATACTGAAGTATGGAGGTTCATCTCTGATCAAGATGGTAATACCTTACGGACCTAAGGTGACCTTTGGGTAGGCTCCGAAAACTTTCTTGGGTAGGCTCTCAGGCCCTATGGTGCTCCCTTAGGCTGGCTCATATACCCAATGGTATAAGGTAGCCCTTATGGATGTAGTTCGGGGGAACTACATTTTGGTGTACGGGAGAAGGTATTTACAAGTTATAAATTTAACTTATATATGACTTTTACGATACCTTACTGAAACTCTTTTGATTGTTTTACTTACTATGTTTTATTTGCACTATTGGGATACACTGTGATAAAGGATGCGGCAGCAGATGTTGATGATGATTGATAGATAGTTGTCCTACGAACACTCCTAGCTATAATTGACTAGGCAAACTTGATAATCAGCTTTAACCAGCCCTACAAACCGGAGTGTGAAGATCTCTCTCATAAAGAACTTGAAAGATCATAATGAAAAGAATGCTTTGAAGGCACAAGGTAATCAGTACTTGTAAAAACAAACTCTCGTTGTATTATTAATCAAAGAAATATGTCTTTTCAAAGTTGAATGAAGCCTCCTTTATATATGTGAGGAGTCCTTGTTGTAACATGACTAATGAATAAAGATAATTTTTCGATTCTATCCTAATTCCTAATAAATAATAATAAACTAAATAATAATTCAATCTTAATTCTTAATAAAATAATAAATCTAATCCTAAAGATAATGCTCATCTTATATTAAATTATATACAAATAATCAATAAAAGTATTAAAAATTCGTATTTATGAAATCTCGTATAGGAATTTCTACATGCATTGTCTTCAATAAAATGGATGTATCTTGAGTTCACGATATCGGATTGATTCAATTCAAAATAATTGGAAAGATAAGAACAATCATATATTGATATACTGAATAAGATCATGATATCATTCGAAAAGTAGTCATAAGTATGATGTTCTGTTACTCTTCTTTTCCAAGGCTTGTTCGTATAGATCAATTGGAAGTGCTAGTCTATCTTCCTTTAAAGTGATCCTTGTGATGCATGTATCACATTGAGCTCCCTATCTCACACTTTTCAAATTGTTTTCCCCTTTTCAGATACTTTTGGATAAGTACCCCGATCCAGGTACTAAGAGGATCAACATACTTACATAACTTTTTGTTGTAATGTTTTTATCTTCCGAACTGCTTTCATTTACGATAACATGTGCCTTTATTTTTGAAATACTTATTTTTTATTTATTACTGCAATATGGACATTTGATGTATTGTATATTACTCAGTCACTATTGGTTTTATTTATTTACTCGTTTATTTTTATCAATATTAACTATAACCTTTTTGTTAAATATTGTTTATAATATGATTTTAAATTTTCGAAAATCTTTTGGAAATTTTAATGTAATCCGTTAGACCAAGTCGTAACGCATAGGCTAGGTCTAGAGGGTTACATATTTGGTCAACATATCTTCTAGATATATATCAGTTGTCTCTTATCTTTCTAACGATACTTGAATCGCATCAATATGATGTCGAAAACTCAAGATACATCCATTTTAGCGAAGACAACGCATGCAGAAATTTCTATAAGGGATTAATAAGATATTTTATAAACATTATGAATTTTCAATATTTTTATTGATTATTTGTATTATAATTTAATTTAGGATGATGCATTATCATTATTATAAGATTTATTTTTTTAGGAATTAAGATCGAGTTAAAACATTATGCTAGTTTACTATTATTTTTTAGGAATAAGGAAGAATCGAAACATTATCTTAGTTTATTATGTTACAACAAGGACTCCTCACCTTATATAAACGGGCTCCTCCCACCATTGCAAGTGTTGATTTCCCTGTGCCTTCGAAGCATATTTCATCATTAAGTTCTTTCAAGTTCTTCATGAGGGAGATCTTAACAAATCCGGTTTGCCTATTCATTGCGATTATGAATGTTGGTTAGAGTTGATTATCAAGCTTCCCTAGTTAATTACGATAAAGAGGGTTAATAGGATAACAATACATCTATCTTCATCACCACCATTATTATTATCATCATAAAATCGCTCACTACCACCATTATCCAAGTTCACCAACTTCATACCACAAAGAGAATTTCAATTCAAATACTTTCATATCTTTATTTATCTTTTATTCATCTTTTATATATTTATTATCTATTATTCATCATCTTTCTAATAATCATCATCTTGTTTGATTTTCTAGCAACTTCATTCAAGAACCCTAAATTGGCAACAAACTTTTTTCTCGTGTCAATCTCTTTCTTTGATCGAGTAGATCTTTAGGTTTGATTCTTCACAACGAGCAATGTTCATCCCCCTCCTGCCATCCTTGTCAAAATGATAAGTTTTTTCTTATAAAACCTAGAATCCAAAACTTCCCTTTAGAGGGAAAAAATGTGTGTTTTGCCTTTGAAGTGAGATAGGATTTTTTTCCTTTTAAAATTTCACCACAAGAAAAAATATTCAAAAATTAAAAGATATAATATTGAAAATTTAGATACTATTATTAATGTATTGAAGAAAAATTATAATTTAGAAAATAATTATAGCAATAAATATTACTTTTATTTTTGGGTCCAAAGGGTTTAGGGACCATATTGCTTTTTATTTTTTTGCAAAAATTTGAGGTTTTCATATACCATTAAATCAAAATCTATTGTTAGAATAATTTGAATGCAAGTTAAGTTAAAAATCTTGATCTCATGTTATACAACCAATTCCCAACATTTATTGGCATCTTTCATTTTATCTTTGTAGCACATGCTTTCCATATATAGTAAACAAATCAGAGAAATCAAAATAAATCTTATCATGCTTCTTCAGCCAGATTCACTTTCCATTTTTAGCAGACATTAACATTATTCCATGCAAGGCCAAATTCAATACTATATGTAAAATAGAAAGCTATATGCTATGCATTCAACCAACCTAGTTGACTAGCTATAGAGAGATGGGGAAGCTTTCATAGACTTCGATTATTTTTGTTGTCATCTTCTTCTTTGCAACTCGTTAGTTCTTTTTTTCCTATTGAACTCTTCTTTTTTTGGGTAAAGTATAGTAATGGTCACTAAATTTTTCTAAAGCTTTCATTTAGGTCCCCCAACTTTTAAAACTTGCAATGCAGTCCCCCAACATTTAGTCCGTTTCCAATATGGTCCTCGACATAACTGTTGGGGGACCATATTGCAAACAGACTAAATGTTGGGGGACTGTATTGCATGTTTTAAAAGTTGGGGGATATAAATGAAAGCTTTAGAAAAGTTCAGTGGCCATTACTATACTTTACCCCTTTTTTAATTAATGCGTTGAAAATAAAATTTTAATAGAGAAGTTGACCCAGCCAGGCCGTTAAAATATATTATTCAAATATAAAAAGTATTATATTAATAAAAAAATATAAAAAGTACGGAGTAATACATTCAATGCGTACCAATAGTGGAGTTGACGCAGTTTGTGTATTGTCCTTTACATGCTGATTATGAAGGTATATATATTACTAAATTGTTATTGTGGTGATAGTTGTGGTTGTGATTATAGTTAATGGTTGTTATAGTATGATTTAATTGTTAAAAACAATTATGTTTTTAGATTGGTCGATAAGTTCGGCCTATACTCGTTTGAAACAAGACTTTCCAGAGTCACCCGTGGCTTTCACTTACTCCTTGAGGCACCGAGCGAATTGCATGAAATTTTGGAGCTGGATGGTCCAGGCAATGTGCATGGAAGCCAACGTGTGGCTTTGTGACTGTGTCATTAATTTCGCATTCGATTGTATCCAAAAAGATGGAGAACACACACCTGTAACTCTTAAAAATTATTCGGATGCACAACATTCTAATCCTTATTCATTTGTGGACAATGTATACAACTATACATCATATATTCATTACAACGCTAATCTTCTTTCACCTTTTCAAGAAGACCGAAGAAGGGATTTGTCATTGCAGAATTTAACAAAGAACCAGCATAGTTAAGCAGCCGTATATCAACTTTATCAGAGAAAAACCAGGAACTTGTTCCCTTCACTTCTCTCGAATCCGCAAAGCTCGAGAAACTCAATCCCTCCTTCAAGATCCCAACCCTTTCCTGAATTGAATTAAAGTTCATCGTCACGAAATAAATAAGAAAAGCACAGAGAAGGTCTCGATGTGGTTCCATCGGATTAAGTCACCTTACCTGGAACTTCGGGTTACCAAGTCGGATCTTCCTGAACTTTTCCTCATCAGGACTCTTTACGACGTTTCTGACATAAATCAACAGCGTTTGGAATGCCCTTTTAACTCTGTCATTGCCATCCTGGACTCAAAATAAGCAGGGAGTCATGTTGCTTAAAGTAACATACACTCGATCCAGTACATGAAAGGGAAATGCACTTTAGGCCTGCAAATTTAGTGTCGTAATCTGGTTTATGGAGTTACATTTCAATTCACATGGTCACTCATGGAGCAAATTACAACACATATAGCCAATCGATTCTTTAGTTCGATTAGGTACGAAAACAACGAGTTAAGAAATTGGTTACCTTTTAAGCTAGCTTCAGAGATCTTAGACATTCTCTCAAGCGGTCATCCTTTTTAACAGATTAACAGGCAAGGAGTTCTGCAATTTTTAACAGGATCAAGCTCAATATGATTTCTTAGTCTTCCTTGGGTGTAGAGAGTGTTGGTTACCTGGACTGATTTACAGCTTTGTACAGAGGAGACAAGCTGTTAATATCAGGAGTTACAAGAGTTATTTGATTTAATTCCAGGGGTTAGGGGTTACATGATATAATTTCGGGAGTTATAACAGCTGAATAATGATACAATGAACCTGGACTATTTCTGAGTCAGGTTCATCTAGACGTTTCAGCTGTTACAAATAAGAGGTTTAATCCTGAAATTTTATGGACGATTTTAACCCTATTTCTAGCCTATAAATAGAGAGCTATATTCAGCTTCTCAACTCACTCCAAAACATTTTACAATTCACTTACAAAGTGTTTTTCTAAAGTTCTCTCCGTGAGTTCTCTCTGAGTGCTTTCCGATCAGAAGTACAATACCACCAGCAGTCCACTCCGGTTTCGGGTGTACGGAATTTGGAGCGACCGTGTTAACCTCGGGGGACGGTCCGCCTACTGCAGCGATTACACACATCGAGGCGAATTCGTTTCTAAGGCAGTGGTTCTTACCACGACACGGTTTACGAATCTGTTCTTCTTAATTACTGTTTATATTTTCAGTCAGTGCTAACGGTGTAGTTTTGCAGTTCATATATCCAACAGAGAGAACATTTGAAAGATATATAAACCTTTTCTTCTTCTTGTGCAATAGGTCGAGTTAGTTTCACAGCTTGGTTTTCTAGTGGCAATCCGAGTGCTCGCTTTCGTTCCAACTGGGAAGTTGCAAGAGAATCAATCAGAAGGTCTAAAATAAATTTAGGTTAACGAAATAACTAAATAAAATTTAATTGAAGAGATAATATCAAATACAAACTAAAAATTATATATGTTATAAAAGAATAAAATAATAGTCTAATTTGAAAAATATGAAGAAATTTTATTATTTTAAGTACTATTATTTCTCTCCCTAAGTGGAATCATTTCAAACCAAACATCAAAACAAGAGGTGTTATATTCCTCTAAAATAATCAACAACAACAACAACAACAAAACCCTGATTCCCATATGCAATGGGGTAAGGGGGAGGGTAGGGTAGTAGGCTGACCCCAACGCCAGGTAGAGGGCAGCTTCCGTGGAAGACCTCCGGCAGTCAGAAAATTAAAAATAAAGATAAGATGCAAATGCGTGTATAAATAAATAAATAAATACATAGATGAACAGTCTTCATATGCAGTCTTGATATGTGCGTCTGTAATGGGGAGTAATCCCTGTAAATAATTCCCTGCAAATAATTCCCTACATAGAAATCTCTGCATATAGACTGAAGATGTAAGACCCAGCTAAATTTAAAAAGAGGAAACATGAATAGAAATGATACACAGAAGTCAATAATAGCAAGCTACGAGAAGGAATAAATTCAAATGAGTTAATTCTTAAACTAAGGCAACACTACTCCGATACCCTAGTTCTAAGCCTTCATACATTTCAATGACAGAAACATGTATAAAGTAGAAGTCATGGAAAGTACTACAAAGACATTAAAAAGAAGACAGAGATGTTACACCCTATGGCTGTGAACCGCACTACTCAACTACCCTGGTCTTAAGTCTCCATACTTTCCTATCAGAGGTCATGTCCTCGGTAAGGGCTAATTCCTTCAAATCAGATCTCAAGCAGTCTTCCCACTTCCGTCTTGGTCGTCCTCATCCTTCTGACACCGTCGACTGTAATCGACTCTACCCTCCTGACCGCATCCGACGGTTGTCGCCTAAGGACATGCCCAACCACCGTGTCTTCCCTCCCTCAATTTTTCGGATACAGGCACCACCCTCAAGTACATCCTAATAACAGAGTTAGGTGTCATGTCCCACAGAGTCCTACCACAGCCATCGAACATTCTCATTTCTGCGGCCTCCATCCTCCTTACGTGATCCTTCTTGATTTCCCAACATTCTGATCCATACAGCAGCACTGGTCTTATTGCCATTCTATAAAATTTTCCCTTTAGTTTTAGAGGCACCTTCTTGTCACACAAACTCCAGTAGCAACCCTCCACTTAGCCATCCCGCCTTTATACGGTGTGTACGTCTTCATCTACACCCCCATCTTTATGTATAGACCCTAGGTACTTGAAACAATCATTTGAGGAGATAATGTGTCCTTCTATGTATACTTCTACATCTTCATCGTTTGGTTTCCACTGAAGTTGAACATACATAATTTGTCTTTTCAATATTGATCCTTAGACCTTTTTCTTCCAAAGCAGTCTTCCAGGTAGCAAGTCTATATTCAGCTCAGTTTTTGTTTCAGCAATTAGGACAATGTCGTCAGCGAAAAGCATACACCATGGAACACCGTCTGGTGTCGCACAATAGATGTCGTCCATTTTTTTGTGTAACCTTACTTCATTTTTTTAATCTAATACAATATTATGGCTTAGATTCAAATATGGTGGCGGAGGCAAGGGGACCAATCGCTCATTGGACTTGCGATAGTGATTTAACTTGTCAAACACATTGTCTATCTCGTTGTCGCGGGGGTGCTTGTGGTGCTGATCACTATTGTCACTGTGTCTTCCCAACATTTCCAATATCTTAAAATATAAACATTTTCAACTAACAAATCGTTATCATATCCTTTGTAATTGTAATTGCAATTACAATTGTAATAAATGTAGGTACTGAAATTATCCTTTGTAATTAAATGTACTATTAGTACTTATAAATTTCAATTAATTGTAATAAATGCATCACAAGCATTTGATCAATTAATGGATCTCAAGTACTTATACGTTTGATGTTTAAATGTGAAATGCATCACAAGGATAATTGTAATTGTAATTGTAATTGTAATTTTAATAAAATTATCGTTTAATAATAGGAAAAAAAACTCACGAGTAATGAAATGTAGGGAGATGATAGCGATTTCTTAGTTGTAACAATTGTACTTATACATTTCAATTAATTGTACTTATAATGAGATAGAAAATAAATCTCTATCATATCTTTGTAATTGTAATAAATGTTATCGTTTAATGCTATTATTAATAACTATTGGCATTAATTAGTCTTTTCTTGTTTCCTTATTTACCGTAATGTACCTTTTTTTCCTCTCTTTTTTTGTCTATCGAGTAATTTTTTTATTATGGATGAGATCTAGAAAAGGTAGAGAGATTAATGATTTTTTCAATTAATATTTTTACTTTTATTGTTAATCTAAGTTGTTTATTTGCATTCATCCAATAATCTTAATCTATGTAAAATTAAAGTTTTTTTTATTAATCTAGGGTAAGTACAATTTTGTATATGTTCAATGATAACTCTCAATCATTTGACATTGAACGTTCACACCACTAGCATTTATGGTGCTTTAGCTCGAGACGTCAAGAAATAACAATAATTTCTTTACATCCGAGGTCATTTGATTCATGCAAAATTTTAAATTTTTATTTATTATGTTTTTAAAACAATAACATATGATTTTATGTATCAAAATGCATTTTATTGAAAATATTTTTTACTTTTATATCAAAAACGTTTTTTTATTTCAAAAATTAGGAAATTTTTATATTTTTAAAATTAAAAAAAGCAAATCAAAAATATTTTTGAAAATCAAATAGAGCATAATAATCCTATTAAATTCAAGAAAACCTACTTACTAAAGAAATATCATATTGTTATATTTAAATATTTTAAAACGTCCTTAACAAAATTTAAAACGCAATATATTTTTTCAACGAAGTATAATAAATTCTAGTTTAAATAATATAAGAACTCATTAAATGATATCACTGATTAAAGGGTGTTATTTTTTTCAGAAGTATCATGTTCAAACCGCTATATTTCTAGTGCGTGTATTATTAATAGTTAAGAAAATTTAGAATAGATAATACATTTTAATTACCTAAATTATTAAAAATATATAATAATCAACATGAACCATTTAAAAATAATAATCAAATAAAGGAATTAAAAATTCTAAAAAGGAGTTTGGTGGCGTTGGTAGGGGTATGCAAAATTACCCGACCCGGTTGACCCGACCCGTCGACCCGCCGACCCGGATCTAAAAGAACCGGGTAATTCTTTAAAAAAATTACCCGGCCGGGTCGGGTACCCGGCCTGACATTTCCGGGTCGGGCCCGGGTCACAAAATCTAGTTTTTTAGTTTTTATTTTTTTTATTTTTTTATATATAATTATATAAATATAATGAATTATTTATATTATGGATTATTATATTTTGTATTTTGAACTTTTAAATTTTACGTTCGGATATTAGAGTATGTAATTCGAAGTTTTGAACATTTAAATTTGTGTATATTTTTTAAAATTAATAATTTGAAAATAAAAATTAAAAATCGGGTATCGGGTACCCGATTACCGGGTACTCGCAAATCCGGGTACCCGATTACCGGGTACCCGTAACATTCGAGTCAGGACACGGGCCGAGAAATCGTCGACCCAGAAATTCCGAGTACCCAAAAATCAGGTACCCGAAAATCTGGGTACCCGGATTTGCACACCCCTAGGCGTTGGTAGTTGTTAGAAAACAACATTTAAAGATTCGAAAACTAATTAAGGCAATTATTTGAATTAAAAGTAAAAAAAAACATAAAAGAGGACTTATTCTAAAATCTCTTTTTAATATTAAATGTATTTATATAATAGCTTTAATAAATACAAATGCAGTAAACGAACCAAATTATTTTAATGGTTAAAAGGAATATTATTATTATAAAAGTCCGGATTTAAGCACCACCGATTGTAGTATTTATTTTTTATGTTCAACACAATATCTAAAATATTTTTTTCAATAATTACTATATTTTTGTTAATAGAGATATACATTTTAAGGTAAATATCAATATTTGAACATATAAGATGAGATAATATGAAATCACTAATCATTTGTGTCGAAACGGTTCTTAACAAATTTAATTTTAATTAAAGAGATTTCAAAATCTCGTCTCGATTAATTTGAGGTTTCCTTTTAAAATCAATATAAAGTTCTAAGAGTGTCACCATCTTGATTAGAGTGTGATTGAGCACCCAAAAACAATTGTCATTTTAATAAAAAATAATTTTAATTTATTAAACAACATTTTAGATCTACGTTCCAAAATTAAGCAGATAAATTCAAGAATAAATGAGCTTAATTATAGGACATGAAATAAAAGACATAAATGTAAAGCATTAAAGGTTAATGACATAAAAGTAAAGCATAGAATAAAAGGAAACAGTGAAAAAAATGATAATCAAATAATCAAATACATATGTGTTGGGAGTCTAGGGATGACAACTAACCGAACTCGAGGGTTTCGATTCGACCGACTGATCGGGTCGAATTTTTTTTAAATAAAATTAGATTCGGTCGGTCGGGTTTTTTTTAATGCACTGTTCGGGTCGGGTCGGTTTTAGGGTGAAAAAACCCGACCCAAAAAATATATAATTTACCTATATTTAGGGATAAACAATATTACCCCTCTATATATAATTTTTTCAATTAAGTCATATTTTATTGAATAAAAATATTTTAAATTATTTCGGGTCGGGTTTCGGGTAGGGTTGAAACCTTAATTTCTTCAGGTCGGGTCGGGTCACGGGTGGAGGACCCTTTCTTCTCGGGTCGGGTTAGGTGACCCAAAAACCCGACCTTGCCCCTAGCTGGAGCCTGGGAATGTTTAATTCCCAAAATAAGGATGTCATCCAATTAATTCCTCATCTAGTGTATTTTCTAATACTCTTAAGTTTATAGTATATCTCGGCGTCTTTAGGCTAAAATTTTGCTTTATGGGATTACCCGGCGTCTTTAGTTAAATTTTTCTGATTACTGTGATTTTGGAGATTTTCCCGAAAAAATCACATTTTCCTTAAATATTTATGTGTCAGACACCCTTGAGATAATATCCGATCTAACACCCTTTGTATTATTTAATTTTTTTAATATTTTATTTTTTTCCTTAAATCATTATGTTAAAATCTATACGGAAGCGACAACATTCTTCTAGTACTCCAACATGAACCTTTAAATCTTCATTATCATATCCTCAAGAGTTATGTTTCTCTTGAAGGATACTTAACATAATGATTTGATATGAAAAACGTCGGTTCATCTTCCGAATTTCTCTATCATAATAAAAACAATAGCTGAAATTCGATTTATTCTTACACATAAACGTAAATAATTTAAAAATATAATTTTTTTATTATTACCGTATCAGCAAAAATATTCGACGTATGCTCTCACTTTCCAATTTTACAACCACAAAATTAATTGAAATAATTAGTACAATATTTTTTCAAATAATCATATATAATTATAAAAAATATTATATTAAAAAAATTACCTTACAATGAAAGATCGAAAGAATTTCTGAATCAAAGATAAGAGTATTACCGGGTGCTATTTAAGGAAATATTATCTCAAAGGGTGTCTAACACGTAAATATTTAAGGCAAATGTGATTTTTTGGAAAATCTCAAAAAATGCACTGTAATCATAAAGAATTTAACTAAAGAGCCGAGTAATCCATAGAAAAAAAACTAAAGATGCAGGTAATTCATGGAGAAAATTTAAGCCTAAACACACCGTGATATCTTGAGAATTTTAAGAGATACTGTATAAAATACATTAGATGATGAATTAATCGACTAACATCATTCCTGCAACATTATTTGGGCACTTTTGCCCAACAAGGGCTATAAGGGGACCGAATAAAATAGATGCATAAATCACATACCAATCAGAATTAAAGCATAACCAAGATAAGCCATGGGAAAACAAGAAGGACTGCATTGAAAATTTACTCTTTGACCATTAAAAACGCGGGCCCTTAATGGGCATTTTAGGGAAGTATAAAACACACTCTTTAAGAAACAAAATTCATTTGGTCACTTTAATTTATTTATCAAAATTTGTTT